AGTCACAGAGTACAGCACATTGATCTTTGTTTACCAAAATCCACTGGTGCAGCTTGCAAACTTGGGAGGGCAGCAGTGGTGCCTAAGCCTTCAGATATCACTGACCTGGCCTCTGTTTCTGTATACAGGGCATTAGGCCACCCATGAAATAAGGATCATACTATTTGACGGTGGGATTTGTGCAGGATTTCTCTTTTGATCCTCCAAAAGGCCAAGCTCACCCACTGCTCACTTCAACATATGTAGTAAGACATTGCTGAAGACATAAATAGCAATCCTTTGCTTTTCAGGAAGCAGTAGACTCAGGCTTCTATTTCAGAGTATGGTGGGACCAAGGAATCCAGAAAATTTTAGGGCAGCATGTGAATCGCTTCCCAATGGGATTGTGTCCAAAGGTTAAGTGAACCAAAAGGGAACCTGACCCAGGAACACATCAAGGGGTTTACCAGTAATCTCTTTAATGGACAAAGAGGAGGTTTTTATTTGTTGTTGTGTAGGTTGTTGTTTTTTTTTAAGTACTTTCTCTCAAACTTACAAAGTTAACATTCATTAGGTTCATCGTGGAGGCCTCATGGGTCAACCTGGCTAACTAAATGTTGAGTGCCCTTCCTCTGAGGCATATTAGGTGAAGCCGCGGTCACAGATGGGGGTTTCTGACAGCCAGCCCACACCATGCTTTCTTTGGTTGAGTTGTGGTGGGGTGTTTGTCCAGTTCTGGAAATCAGAAAGGGCGTGGGGCAAGATCCACTTGATATCCCAACTGGCTGAAGTAGAAAGAGAGATCCCAACTGTGGCCATGTTCTCTTAGTGGAATCCCAAGATTCCTCCAATTACATAATTTTCAGAGTACCACCTATATTACCCTCTGGACCACCACCCTACGAACCTGGATCAAGGCCACCCCTGCGGGAGCCCCCTATCCTTATTCATCACTGTCTACAGTTATAGTCTTTAACTCTGATGTTGATCTGTATATGAAAAGTAATGATCTTTTTTTTGACCGGCCGTGCGGCATGTGGGATATTAGTTCCCCGACCAGGGATCAAACCCGTGCCCTCTGCAGTGAAAGCCCAGAGTCTTAACCACTGGACCGCCAGGGAAGTTCCAAAAAGTAATGATCTTCTAATAGGAGGAACCGGAGGAATGTTTAAAGAAGTACATCCCTCATGAATAAACTGAAACCTTGCCTTGGACAGCTCATTTTAGTTTGTGTCAGCAATCCAACAGTGAAATTTTATGGTATGTTGAGTCTGTGGGAAAAATGGAACCCTAAGGTGTCCCTAGAATAAATTTGTACATTGCAATCCCTCCAGGCTAGGACTGGGATATTGTTTGACCTTGAGGGAGTAGCCCACAGCTCAACAGTAAACACCACTGCCAGCAGGGTCCTCACCAGTCTGTTGTGACTTTAGTGTACCCCTCTGTACACATTTCTGGTTGTGGGCATTGGGCTCTTACTGAGAAGTGCTCAAAATATTTTCAAATGATACAAATAACTATAGATATCCTGCATTTTGTAGATTATCTGTTTTTAAAAAAAGAGGATGATTTTACTCTACATAACATCTTTTCTTTAGACAGAAATAATAATAGAGTTAGTAATAATACTAATATATTAGCTTGGTCTTCCTATTCTTTTGGTAACACTGAAATTTGTTTTTCTGATTCTTTTTATAAAGGACATTTCTAACCATCGTTTAGTCTCTTGAATAGATCTACCTATTATACGGGAGTACCTTGAGCAAAATTATTGCCTTAGGTACTCGAACCAGTTATGTCCCTTACAATGAATAAACTTATGAATTCACATTGCTTTTAAGTTAAAATCTTATAAATCTGGTTAATAGCAGTTTTCATTCAGCCGCTATTTATTATCTGCCATGTGGCAGGCACTGGGCTAGCAGCAAGGGGATGCAGTAGTAAAAAAGGCAGACAAGGTCTTTTAATTACAGTCTGACGATTATCATGGGCCTGATTAACCCTGACTCAACCGATACAATCTAATTCCTGAGCCTGTTAAACTGTAGGGTATGTCATGGGTCGAACAGTCACTCAGTGAAGTCTTATCTGAAACAGCCAGGCAGTTCTGCCCTTAATTATAAACCTTGGAGCTGAGAAAAGAGAAGGGGAAGGAGGGAGGGGGGGAGAAAGGGAAGACAGAAGAATTATCAGCTGAGGTACTAATGTCACTAAAGCACTGGAAAAGTGGCTGAGGTTGAAGGTAGAACCACAGCCCCGCAAGTCACAGTTAAAGTCACAGTTATTACCCATTTCCCTCCAATTTCCCCAATGCCAAAATAATCCCTGAAAGGGAATGAGGAAGGCAAACTGCATAAAAAGTTCTCTGTAATGGATTTACAGAGCCAGTCTGGGGAAGATGTCTAGTAAATTCTTCATTTAAAAAGTCTTACAATTATTTTATGACTCGTATAGGGTAATACATTTTGATAGGGAAGAAATTAAGCTATACCAGCCAGAATCTGGGAGGAAGAAAGGGTTACGACGTAGCTCTGTGGTAAATACCTTTTGGTGCCTCACTCGGTAATGATATAGATTAAAGCAGACGCTTGAGTTCTAAAGCTCTATAGTCTTTTCAGCTGTACAATGTGTTAAAAATGTTGAACTATGCAAAGCCATTCAGTTCACATTTGAGCCTCACTGCTGAGCCTTAGGTGGGTACAGTTTAAACCTGTGATGTGGACACAGGAAATTTCTACCTATATCCACAGAGCAGAATGTCTTACCTCACCATAGTGGGGAAACATGAGGGAAAAACAATTTGTACAAATTCATGCTCTGGACGGTCCCCTGGGACAGTGAGGACTAGAACATGAGCTCAGGACCTCGGCCACCGAGAACTCCCAACACACACACACAAGCCACCGAGAACTCCCAACACACACACACAAGCCACCGAGAACTCCCAACACACACACACAAGCCACCGAGAACTCCCAACACATACACACAAGTGGCTCATTAGTGGCAGGCTTCAGTGATCTGGGTCTAGCTTCTCATTTTGCCAACCTCAAGGGGAAGATGATCTCACATGCAATCAAAGGTCACTGCAATGAACATGTTGTTATTTATTCCCCTGTCTGCTCAAGATCAGCTTTAAACTGACCTGAAATAATACGACAGCAGTGATAATCTCTGGTTTTTGGAGTACACAGTAATCCATAAAAGTTTTAAAAAATGAAGTGTCTCTTGGAAGCCCTTACTGCTGCCATTAACATAAATATCCATAATGTTTGCCCTCCTCTGAAAGGTGTTCTCAGGTGGGGTGTGGGTGTGCCTGATTACATGCTTTGCTCTGAGCTGGCCCATTCAGCGAGGGATCATGAGATGCTAGTCTGGGTGGACTGCTGGAGGAAGGTCCCAGCAAGTGGTTTACCTGTAAAGCACATCTCTGGGGCGCAGAGGGATGAATAAAAGGAGGGGAATGCTGGTGCCAGAAACTACAGGTCAGGTGATACCCTGATCTGCAGGAAGGGTGTGGTCACAGCAAGGGGATGAGGCTGTCAGGGAAAGGAGGGGAGAAGGGAACAGGAAGAACAGATATTTTCTTTCCCTCCCTCCAACACAATCTCACTCATCCTCTTGTTTGTGGCAGGCATTACCAGCACTTGCTTCTCTACTTCTTCTAAGCAAACTGGAGGATTATACTTCCCTGCCTCCATTGAAGTTAAGTGTGGTCATGTGCCTTGCTTTGGCCAATGAAATGGAGTGGAAGTGATGTGTGTCACTTCCTGGCAGAAGCATTTAATGGCTGGGCTTGACTTTCCATCCTGGTTTTCTCCTGCTTTGCCCATGTGAATGTACCTATTGATACAAAAGTGCCATAAGATCAAAGTAATAAATTATGTGTGAATGAGGAAAAAACAAAACCAAATAAAGCACAGACAAAAAATAAAATTTTGTTACATTGAGATGTACGGGTTGTCAGCCTACCCTGACATCATGCTCTGTCTTCTTTCCCTCTTCCTGACAGTCTCCTCTCCTCTTCTCTTGCCTCCTCCCCTCCTTACCCATCTCTTCCTTCCTTTCCTCTCCCTTTTACCCTATGACTCCATTGCTTTCCTACCTGGAAATAATAGTAAATATAATGTTTTATATTCCTATTCTTAATCTGAAACATGGATACATTTGTTTCTTGAAATAAGAAATGAGTACACTTTTTGAATTACACAGTTCACATTTCTTTCTTTAAAGAGAAGCCCTGAGGTAAATTAAAAATCAGCTTTAGTTTGTGTGAAAAATATATGCTTTGAAAACCTTACTATATGATATAAACATATAGTCTTATCATTGTGGATAAGCCCTCAACTGATTTTCCTGTGTGGGTTAGTGGCTGTCAGGGAAAATAAAAACAAACATAAACTTTCCCTAAACACCTTGCAGCTCAGAAAAACCAGAGCTCCCTCTGGAGTGGGCTCTGAACAGGAAATCACTTACAGCATGATCAGTCACTTAGTTTTCATTGGTAACTTTGTTAAGAAGGCTACTGGAGCTGGAACTCCAGAAGACTGTTCAAGACTAAAGGACATCTAAAGTTATCAAAAGAACTACTCATTTTCATGCACAGTCATTCATGACATCGTATTTAACCCTGAGGTCACTCCCACCACCCTGAAAATTGTTTCAAGCAATTAAAGTAGGCCTAATCATGAAGCAGCAGAGAATGTAAGTGCAGGAAAATGTAACTGTAGCCTGGCTAGTCATGCATATTTAAATAAACACAACAGATGTATACTTTGAAAACAAATTCAACAAGCTCTGGTTTCAAATAGGAACATGCTCTACTAGGTAAACATGACGTGGCCTTTTAGGCCATTTTACAACACCACGGAGAGAACTGCTAAGGGTTTTACACATAACCAATTCCGCAGAGATGATCTTGGTACAGGGAGGAGAGGAGAAAGTATGTAACAGTTATATGAGGCAAAGGAGAACATGCAAAAGAAGCAAGAGCCAGGTGGGGAATTCTGAAGTTCACTTACTGCCTGTTTTTGCTCCTCCTCCTAGAGGTGGTGAAGACGAAAAAAGGCAGAGGGGAAAAAGGAGAGAAGTTAATGCCCATCACCACAAACAACCGGAAAAAAAAATGACAGAAAAGGGCAAACCAGGCCAGGCCCATGGGTTCAGAGAGCCCACCGTCAGAGCACCATCAGTTGCACAGAGCAGATGGCAAGCCTCTGCCCCATCCAGTTCTTTAAATGCTAACTTCTAGAGTTAGAAGGAAAGAACCTTATAAACCCTCTAGTCCAACTTCCCCTTTTATACACGAAAAAGCCCTAGAGAGCCTGACTTGCCCAAGGTTATATCACTATTTAGGGTAAAATGAAAGAAGCAGCTCAACCATGACTCAAAAGCTCCGTGATCACTCTGTTTCACGATTCACAATATCCACATGTGTTAGGTACGTTTCTCTAAGTCAGTGGTTCTCAAAGTGCAGAACATAGAGAGACCAGGAGCAGCAGCATCTGGAAACTTGTCAGAGATGCATGCTTTGCCCCGTCTCCCCCTAGACCAATGGAATCAAAACTCTTGGGGTGGGGACAGCGCTGTTTCATGAAACTTTCAGTGGATCCTGAATCCTGCTGGTTTGAGAGCCACCGCTCTTAAGAACTTCCTAGAAAATGGAAATTCCATCTGACTACAGATTCTCTTATTTAGTCCCCTGTCTTCCACTTTTGGAGCCTTTGGCTGCTGTGTGGTTCTTTTCAAGGATGCACATACATCCCCTTCCCCCTATAAACTGGAACTGTTTCAAGGCCCTAAGAGGCTTTTCAAAAAGAATTCTTGACCTTGGTGTCTCATTAGTTGAACAAAGGTTCGTTTAATGCTCCCTATGCATGAAGCACTGGAGACATGAAGGTAAGATATGGTCTCTGTCTTTCAGAGCCTTACAGTGACGGTGCTCAGAGCAGGCCCTTGCTAGCTCTCAGCTCTCAGCATGCACCTCTAGACATTGAAGAAGGAAGCACGATGAAGATGAGATAAACACTTCCGAGTTCCTCTCTCCTCAGTCTTGTGCTTCTCAGTTACTCTGTCTTTTAATGGGTCTCTTTGTTTCCTTTTTCTGTGCCTCATCATGGGCAACTGTGGTCAGGACGCCTCTGCTCTTTGCCCCAAATACACAGATCTAAAATCTGTTGCAATGGTTCTATTTAAATTGGATCCATCCGTGCAGACTGCCTTTACTAAACATGTGTGTAGGAAGTCTTGGGAATGGATGAGTGCTTCTCAGTCTGCAGATCTGGGTGCAATGGAGAGAATGATTTCAGTAAAGCCAAGGAATTACAAAAGGGAGAGGGAAAGTAAGAATTTGGAGAAAGTCATTTTATTCCCGCAAGGGAGAGACATGCACTAGAAATTAAATGGGCACCAAGAAATCTCTTGAGGAGACTCCCAACTCAGCACCAGAAGATGTTCTTCATTATCAAAAGCAGCTGCTAGATGCTTGGCCAAACCTAATATCACAGGCACCCAGGCAAAGAGGGCCCTGAGCGTTCGCTGAGTTAGCCTGCAGGAGTGAGCGTCTTTTAGCTTTTGCGTCCGGTATGCATGGCTCCAGTTAGAAGGGGTTAGAGTTTTACAGTTGGGAAGCGATCTCCCTGCCTAGTCAGGCTTCCCTGTGAGGCAGAACACTTTTCTTCCATTCACTAGGCAAGGCAACCAGCCGTAGAAGAGTTATTAAACAATTAAAAATGTGTTTTTATTGCTGGCACTAAATGTTGAAATGGAAATTGGTAGGGGAGAGATGGGGCAATCCTGACAAGCTGAAATTGCATCTGAGGTCAAAAGACCAGTATGTAATTTCTTAGAACTGTTTCTAAAACACCTCCCTATTTTCACTGTTTTCTCCAGGTTTGGTATTGGAGACAATATTACCTTGGTTCAATAGAATAGAAAAATTCAGTGCTCGCTTCGGCAGCACATATACTAAAATTGGAACGATACAGAGAAGATTAGCATGGCCCCTGCGCAAGGATGATACGCAAATTCGTGAAGCGTTCCATATTTTTTTTTAAAGCAATTATACTCCAATAAAGATGTTTAAAAAAAAAAAGAAAAGAAAAATTCAGAAGGCAATGCTTCATGTTTGTACATTTGGTGGCTTTGCTGTATATAGTTTATCTATTGATATAAAATCATTATAATTTGCAGTAGACACATGTCAGGTTAGGATGGAGAGAGTGGACAGGTCAGTGTTTTCAGGACTTACAGGCCCCCCATGTGCACTGGGATTGGGAGAGGGTGGACTTTGGCAAAGTGTTACTTAGGATGGTGTTGTATAATCCAAACTCACAAAAGTTAATCAGATATAGCTTTGAAGGCTTTGTCAACACAGTAAACAGGTCAGATATAAGGTCTTAGAACCTTTTTGTTATCAACTAGTCAGTTGGGGTCAGTAAACATTGACTGGTGACAAGGTATAGGAGCCAACTTGATTTAAAGGGGGTAATAATGCCTTAATTATAAAGTGCAAACCTAGCACTGCTCACGTCACCTAAAAACATGGGAGACCCGTCACACTGGGGATATCTGGCTAGATGGCCAAAGTAATGCCATAGCCACTGTAGTCATCTATATAAAAAAATTTATATTCAAAACCTCATTTGCATATGAGGTTAAAATTTAAAACTACAGAATTCATCTGGTAAATGCGTTTCAAAAGCAATATTGGAAAAATGGAAAATGAGGCAGAAAAATACTGGGAACGTAATTTAGAAACTAAAACACCATCACACAACTCTTTCTAGATTAAATAAGTCTGAGGTAGAGGTTATCCATATATACTCATTAATCAGGGGAAAAAATGTAAAGAAAAGATACATTCTGAAACACGGGTACTTGAGTGTCAGTCTACATTATGTCATTAGGAAAAAAACAACAATGAGAAGGTCTCTGATACTCCTTGGTGACAGGGATTGAGTCTTAGTCACCATTATACACCACATACCCTAAACATGACTCTTAATCAATGGATAAAAAGACAACATTCCTGGTTTATGTTTGCAATTCTTCTTCCCTTTCTGAATGACCTCAGCCTGTGAGGTGGGTAAATAATAAGGCTTTTAAGAACTTGGTAGGATATCCTACAAAACAGAGCAGTGGGGTCCTGGTTATTCTACAGAAATTATAACTGTAAGACAACAGCTGGAAATACAAAGAAACTCAGGGCTTGGGAATACAGTTCGAGACATCAGCTCATTCTGCTTAGGCCTTGAATGCAAGTGTCAGAGGTACATGACAAGGTCTTAGGAAGGCACACGGGACCTGAGCCAGGAACTCTAAGGAACACTGAGGGCAACCAGCTGACGGGAAAGCTTACTGTGATACTTAGGGGAAATGCATTCTGACTTCCCTTCAGTTTGCATAAACCTTTTTGCCTTTTACAAGAAGGGTACCTTCCCATCTATGTTTGGGTAATATTTGAGAACATTTTTCTGAAAGGCAGGTGAATCCCCCATGACCTTCTGTCCTGTGGGTGGACTAACCCCACAACGGCAGGGCTTTCAAAGCCCCACACGGCTCCAGATGTTACACTGGCCAAATGTATTTAAGTACCTCTCTGCTCTCTTGGGTGACTGATCGGGTTGCTCAGCTGGATAATTGACAACTATTTGAAGGATTTGGGCCAGGTTTTACGCATAAGGTTTTCTTTAAACAAGACCCATTTAGACAAAATATTTCTCAGGAGAAATCCTGTTAACAGGGTTAATGAAGAAACATGTCCCAAAATACCCCAAATACCCAGGACCAAAGCTAGAAAAAAACTCAGCTCAAGACTAAAAGAAGTGATTGTCTTGAGCAAGCCAAAAGTCAGTTTAAAACACAAACACTCCATTTACCCAAGTTGCTAAATACCCACTGGCTTTATTATTAAAGGACTGGTTTAGAATGGAGAAGTTGAAGCAAACTCTTCAAGCTGACATGCTCCTGGGCTACCCCTCCTAGCCTAGACCCTTGTCACTTCGGGTCTAGATGATTTCAATAGCTTCCTATTATCGTTTAGTTTCTCCTCTTCCCAACCTGCTATGATCATTTTCCTAAACTATTGTTTTCAAAACCTTTAATGACTCCACTTTATCACAGGATTAAATCTACCCCCTCAGCCTGCCTTTTGAGGTACTCCACACTGTGATTTCCATTCTGTATTTCATACCATGAAATACAATGGTTTCACAGTATAGACAGACGGGCCTTAGGAATTTATAGCATAAACAAATATGTCCTTGTATCGCTGCTACAGAGCTGGGTAAGTATTTCTATTCAGTGCCAGTCAAATCATCCAGGTGAGGACATTTAAATGCCAAGTGCGCCTTTGTCTGCTCTAGGGTGTAGGGGCTGTAATATATTTTTCACTAAAAATAGATAGTGAGGCCTGAATTATGCAAGCCCCAATATACCAAACCTAGAGCTATTTTATTGCTCCTAATAGAGTAAAATTATTGATTAGAGTTGGTTGATTACTTTGGTTTGCCTCTGTAATACTTATTAAAATAGGACACAATACTTGTTATGCATTTAGGTAGAATATTTGAAAACTTGTCTTAAAAGAAACTTTATATAGTTGAGAAATATTCATTTCACATAACTAATATCCGATTTATAAACATTCTTATTAATTCATAAAAGCAACTATTCAAGGACATTAGTTCCAGTTACTAATTTTTTGTAATCAGGCTTTACAATAATTTAGATAACTTTTATACTGAATTAGGTTAACTTCAGGGAGGTCTACCTGAAAACTGAGTCTAGGCAGCAAGAGTTAACCTTTTAGACTCATCCTGTCTGACATCACAGGGAGGCAGAAGCTGAAGTGCAGGGGAAGATGGACAAGAAGAGCTGGGAGGTGGGAGGAGACCTGAGCGGCTGCTGCTCTTACCTTCAGCAGCTTCATCAGCCCTTCCAGCTGGACCATCAGTTCCCGCCTGCTCTCCTGCAGTGCTGACATCCTCTGCTCCAGTTCATCTTTCCTCTGCCTGTCGGAGAGGAAAAGCTCATGAGAAATGAAGAGATGGAAGGGCAGTTAGATCACAAAAAGACACTGTAATTTAAAAATATTAAAAATTGTAATGTGCTACTGAACAAATATAAAAAAAAAAAGAAAATGAAGATAAAATGATCCTCAAAGAAGAGTCGAAGGCCAGATTAAACGGGTTTTAGACCTGATTCTGCTACTTACCAGTGTATGAGATGCTGAGCAAATCATTTAAGTTCTGATACTGGATATATAAAATGGTGATAATATCTCTTTTGCCCACTTTTCTTTACTGCTGTGAGAATAGTATGTAAAAATGTTTTGGAGGGCTTCCCTGGTGGAGCAGTGGTTAAGAATCCACCTGCCAATGCAGGGCACATGGGTTCGAGCCCTGGTCCGGGAAGGTTCCACATGCCATGGAGCAACTAAGCCTGTGCGCCACAACTAATGAGCCTGCGCTCTAGAGCCTGCGAGCCACAACTACTGAGCCTGCGTGCTGCAACTACTGAAGCCTGCGCACCTAGAGCCCGTGCTCCACAACAAGAGAAGTCACCGCAATGAGAAGCCCGCGCACCACAACGAAGAGTAGCCCCCACTCGCCGGAACTAGAGAAAGCCCACGTGCAGCAACGAAGACGCAATGCAGCCAAAAATAAATAAATAAATTTATTTTTAAAAAAATGCTTTGGAAAGTATACATTGCCGTACAGTGAAAAAGTATTGTTAATATTATTAAAATGATTTAAAAAATTCTTTAGGAAGCCAAATGCCTCACTTATACATAAAACTAGTCCAAATTTAAATTAATAGTGGAAAAAAATGTATGAAAGCTGCTCAGGGAAGACAGGGTTCAGGAGTCAGTGCTTCCAGAACCACACATCAGGTTCCAAAAGTATGACAGACATCAGGACGACTCTGTGTCTAAGAGAATTCTGAGGACAGATTTCTGTTTCCCTGAGGACACATTTCATGTCAACAAGTCTAGCTCAATCTGTCCAAAACCAAACTTGAGACTTTCCTCCCTAAATGGTTCTCTTCTCAATTTCCCTCTCTCTCCTACTTTTTCTTCTATCTGTCATGGCTGAAAAACTCAGTCCTCTTTGATACTTTCCTGTTCATTTCCTATATTCAATCAGTCACCCAATTCAGATGATTCTTGGAAATCACATGTCTATCTTTCTATTCCCACAGGTTAAATAAAAGATAGTATTAATTTTTTTTATTTTTTATTATTTTTTTTGCAGTATGCGGGCCTTTCACTGCTGTGGCCTCTCCCGTTGCGGAGCACAGGCTCCGGACATGCAGGTTCAGTGGCCATGGCTCATGGGCCCAGCTGCTCCACGGCACGTGGGATCTTCCCGGACCGAGGCACAAACCCATGTTCCCTGCATCGGCAGGCGGACTCTCAACCACTGCGCCACCAGGGAAGCCCGATAGTATTAATTTTAGTGACACCTATTTCCTTTGTTTTTCAACATGGTTGTTAGAAAATTTTTGGTACACATACGGCTTACATTATATTTCTATCAGAGAGTGCTGCTCCAGACCCTACCTACATTCCTATCCTTAGTTCCTTACCTCCCTTTCCCTTCCATGTCTGGACCTCCAGCCATGGTTCACTTTTCCCTAAGCAGACTGCATCATTTTACGAGTATTCCCCTACTCTCTTCCAAATGTTATTCACTCCTTAGTGTCCCTCCCAAACGTCACTCTTTCCAGGAAGCTATTCCTGATTACTTCAGTAGGTATAGGATCCTGCTTATTTAATCACATAGTAATTGGTGCTTCTCTGTGGCACTTAATATATTTTACCTTGTATTGCTGTCACTCCTACCATGATGCAGAATCCTTGAGGTCAGGGGATGACCTTACTCGCCTTTGCATATATTTAATGATTAAGAGAATATCACGCATCCAGTGTGGACTCAATTAACATCTAGTGAACTTAATGAAATCATTATTTGAAGCCCTCCAAGGATTTCCAATGACCTATCACTTAAGGCTCTCAGAATCGGGTCTCAATTATCCAACTAATTTTATCTCCCATCATTGCCACTCTAAAGATTAATTCACTGGATGACTGAAAACAAATTCTTAGCTCCAAGACTCCTTCTCCTGTCTGAAATGTGTCATACTTATTGGGGGATCTTGCTGAACCCCAACTCTGCTTCTAATCTTAAATGTTTTGTCCTACACGCCATTCAAACCACACCTACCTTTCATGGTCCAGCCCGAATTCCAGCACTTTCAAGCGTCAAATTGCTTCTAGCCTGGGTGTGTGTGTGTGTGTGTGTGTGTGTGTGAGTGTGTGTGTGTGCCTTTCCCTACTCACATTTCTTCTAATATCCATACTATTTATTAACATTGTACAATATTATTTAGCTGACTAGCAAATTATTTTAAGTTTTGTTTCCAAAACTAGATTATAAATTTTTAAGATACAATCATTGTCTTCTCGTCTTCATACTCCCTAAATTTCCAGTGCAGGTATAAACTCAATAAGGAGGAGTTGACTCATTCAACTTTCTAGAAAGCCTTTCTTCCCTGAACCCCCAAGCCTGGATGCAGTACTCTTTCTTTGTGCTGTGCATGATCAAATAATTATAATATGTGGCAACAATGAATGAACTACAGCTACATGCAACAACACGGAAGGCTCCTAAAGAGTAATATTAAGGGGGAAAAATGTCCCAGAAGACTGCATGGAATACCATTTCTATAAAGCTCAAAAAACAAAAAGCAAAATTAGACACTTTATCACGTGGGCATACACACATACTTGACAATACTGTTTTAAAAAGCAAGGGAATTGGGACTTCCCTGGTGGCACAGCGGTTAAGACTCCATGCTCCCAATGCAGGGGGCCTGGGTTCGATCCCTGGCCGGGGGACTAGATCCCACATGCGTGCCGCAGCTAAGACCCGGTGCAACCAAATAAATAAATAAGTAAATATTAAAAAAAAAAAAAAAAGCAAGGGAATGATAAACCAAATTCCGGATAGAGGTTAGCTCTGTGGGGAAGGCAGAAGCAAGGAAGTGGAATAAGGGGGGCACTTTTACAGATGACATGGCTTTAGCAATATATGAATTCTCAAGTAGGATGTGAGTTCCTGGGTGTTCATTTTATCATTATGCTTCATATCTCACACATTTGTCATATATTATTATAATAACAAACATACCGTTAAAAATAATGAAGGGGGAAAAGACAGTCTTGGTGGTCAGGATTCATAACCACTAACCCTAAGGATGAAGTTCTCTATCTTGTTTTATTATACTAGCTGGGTGTTGGCAGTTCCTGGATTCATGTATATTCATCAAAACCAGAAGGATGTCAGAACCTACAAATGAATTTTGCCCTCTATGTGTCTTGTGATAAACAAAAGTTCGTATATTAATATAGATGAATATACCAACTTCTTTCATGGCTAGTAATTCTGAGAAATTATATTTTCTATTCCAAAACCCTAAGGAAACTCTCCTATGTTTTCTTCTAGAAGTTTTAACATTTTTGTCTCCATGTTTAATCCATCCGGTGGTGTTTTTGTATATAGTGTGAGGAAGAGAGCCAATATGTTTGTCCTTATGCATGACCAATTGATCTGGCAAACTTATTAAACAGTCACTCTTTTTTCAGTGGTATACAAGCTGCTTTTGAGATGAAATACTTTCTGATTTCTCAGGATTTAGACCCTCCTTGTATTTAGATTAAATTCCTGTTTCTTACTGCCTTATGTCACAGCGCTGGATTCAGCCCTTTGCCTACTAAATCTACAGTTTTTTCAGATCCCTCTAGCATAAAGAAGCCCTTTCAGCAATCCTAGTTCCAGCAATAGTTAAACTAAAGTATGACAGTTTTTTGCTTTTCTAGATACAAAATAGTCACTTGTGCCTGAGCTGAGGTGAGGAAAGAGAACAGCTGTATCTTACACTGATAGCTTAGAGTTATGCTCTACCTGAGTCAGCAGCTTTTGCTTTCCCATCCTCCCTAGTGTGACACCAACCATGCTGACATCTCAAATGTGTGACAGTGGACCCAGAGCAACCAAAATCTCAGCCCAGTTTCTAATCAATTTAGAAACTAAAATGAATTTTTAGGAGAATGGGAATCTCTGTATCTCTAATGATTTTCATCTGCGTGGTTTAAATTCTTGATGAGTTGACCTAAGCCGAAGGAAGAACTAAGAAAGGACATTCGGCTATGCAGAATCCCAGGTGACTGCACGTTATAAATCAACTGCAGAATGTCAAATGTTACAACCTAAACAGAAAGAACCCACTATTTGGAAATCTAGAGGTCTGGTGAGAATCAAGTCACTCACTTAGTTTCCATAACGTCTTCGCTTACAAAGAGTATACACACATCTTTCTAAGACCGATAGGAAATAAGACCCTAATAACTTTGCTCGGATCACGCTCACGTTATACTCTCCTGGAAGATGCCCTCATTCCCTCCAAAACAGCACCAAGTGGGAGTTGAAGTTGCTCTCTACCCCCATCCTGATCCTACGTCCTTAGTCTCTCGATCCTTGAGACAGTTTATACTTATGCTGAGGTAGAAGGTACCACAGCCACGGTGCGAGGGATTCCCACTTGGTTTCACATCTCAGAGGAGTTCCCGCAACGGAATCCTGCCCTGCCTATGAAGCGCGGAAGAACATACTCAAAGGACAGGGAGAGCGTTACTCCTGCCAGGAGTCTCTAAAGTCAGACTAATTTGCAAGATAAGAAGATTGAGTGCAGCACAATGGTCTCCCTAAAGCAATCACAAAAGTATAAACACTGCGTCTGGTGTTCACCTAGTTCTGAAATGAAGGCAGGAAATCTCACAGTGATTAATAAAAGGACTCAAACATCTGAAGCAGTAACAGAATGAGTGGAATGCTTTAGCTGTTTGTTCTAACATGACGAGTTAAACCGATAAACAGATTCTAACCCACTAGTTTGGTTCCCTGGGATATGAACTCCTACTGTGGCAGACTGTAACTTGGGGACAGTGGTGCAGCTTCCCCGCTTACCTCAGCAGCCGCAGCTCTGCCAGCAGTGTGGGGTTCTGCTGGGCCTTCTCCGGGGTGGGCTGGGAAGCCTGCTCATGCTCTAGACGGAGACGCTGAATCTCCTGCAGGATCTCTCTAGAGAGATGGATGAAAAAGAGATGGCCACGTGCGGCTTCACAGCTCGCTCCCTCTCTTTTCTTCCGTTAGAAGTTTTTATTCTAGTTGTGCTGCCTCTACCAATCTTGTCCCGATTGTTTCTGAATGACCAAGATGTGAAATGGACACCGTCTTAAAATTGCCGCACTCGGTATTTCCTCGATGAAACAATGCTTTGTGGTAGAAAAAGTCCTACAAACCCTCTTCTCAAGAACTTGAAAAATTTCCACAGAAGAAAAAGGACAACTATCAATAGAAGAGTCTGTTCCTGTCTGGGGGGAACTTGCAACCTTCTAATGCAAGACTTGTGCTAACTCCCCTCGTCTTCCTCTGTCTCCCTTCTTCTCCTGAACCCCACTCCCACCCCGAGATCTGATGGTTGCCACTTCCTCCACTGTGCCTGTTACATTATGACCAATCTCCTTGTCCTGGTTTCTGCTTTTTCAGTGCATGATGGTGTGTTGTCTGGTCGCCAAGCCTGTAAATGGCTTTTTAGTGAGAGACCAGACAGTCGCGTGCTGCATCGTGGGCCAGGACAAGATGACAAGACACAGCAAAGGCTCCTGGGAGTCGAGTGGAGAAAGGAATGGGAGGGGAACACACTGGTGGGTGAGAAAAAGAATCTACCTGAGAGCACCTGAGCGGGGTTTTGGACTACCAGAATGAACAGCATGCAGAGATATACAAATTAGTGTCCAGGGCATGTACTGGACTTGGGCTGGCCTATCTTCACTGAGGTGGGATCTTCCTTTGTGGTCAAAACCCACCTAGACTGCAAGGAAAATGAGAATCAGATACTCACGTGATAATCTTGGGCTTCAGAAACTGGCTCGACCTCTGCATTCTTACCTGTTTTTGTTTTCCAGTTCTGCAATAAGCTGTCTTTGTTGTTTGTTGGCATCAAAGTTAAAGCTCAAGTCGGCGGGAGGACGGGTCTACAGTGAGGAAGAAGAAAGGTTTTTTTTTTTATTCAAATATATCCAGAGGCCCAGATGGACTGTTGATTTTTTTTAAAACAGATTTTTGAGGTATAATTTACATACCATAAAATCCACCCGTTTTAAGTGTACAATTCAATGAGTCTTCGTATATTTAAACAGTTATGCAAACCAATCACCACAGTCCAGTTTTAGAACATCTTTCATCACCACAGAAAGTTCCCTCATGCCAGTTTGTAGTCAACTTCCACTCCCATCCCCAACCACAGGCAACCAGTGATCTGCTTTCTGTCTACAGTTTTGCCTTTTCTAGAAACTTCATATAAATGGAATCATACAACATGCAGGCTTCCACTTAGCATGGTATTTCTGAGGTTCATCCATGTTGCTCCATGCATCAGGAGTTCCTTCCTTTTTATTGCTGAATAGTATTCCATTGTTTCCAGCTTTTGGTTATCACAAATGAAGCCGCTCTGAACTCTCATTTACAAATCTTTGTGTTGATACATGTTTTCATCTGTCTTGGGTAAATCCCTAAGAGTGGAATTCCAGAGTTATATGGTTAACTCTGTATTTAACATTTTGAGAAAGTGTCAAACTGTTTTCCAAAGTGGCTGAACCATTTTACAGTCCCACCAACAATGAATGAGGGTTCCAATTTCTCCACATTCTCACCAATACGTGTCATTGTCTTTTTGGTTTTAACCATCCTAGTGGGCGTGAAGTACCTAATTGTGGGTTTTTTTAAAAATTGAGATATAATTTACATGCCTTAAAACCTACCCTTTTAAAGTATATAATTCAGTGGTTTTAAACTATATTTATGAGGTTGTGAGCCCATCATCACTATCTACTTCCAGGACATTTTCATCACCCTGAAAAGAAACCCCCAGTCACTCCCCATTTCCCCTCCACCATCTTGTGACAACTTATCTAATTTCTTTATCTATGGATTTGCCTATTCTGGACAGTTCATACCAATGGAATCATGCAGTATGTGATCTTTTACGTATGGCTTCTTTGTCTTGGCAAATGATTCCAAGGTTCATCCACGTTGTAGCATGTATCAGTACTTCATTTCTTTTTATAGATGAATAATAGTCCACCATATGGATATATCATATTTTGTTCATCCATTCAGCAGCTGAGGGACATTTGGGTTCCCATTTTGGCGGGCTATTTTGCATAATGCTGCTATGTGCATTTGCGGACAAGTTTCTGTGTAGAGACATGCTTTCATTTTTCTTGGGTATATATCTAACAGTGGAACTGCTGGGTCATATAGTAACTGCCTTTTGGGCAACTGCTAAACTGTTTTCCTACATGGCTGTAGCAGTTTACATTCCCACTAGTAATATATGAGGGGTCCATTTTTTCCACTTTCTTGCCAACAGTTGTTATAGTCCATTTTTTTGATCACAGTAATCCTAGTGAGTATAAAATGGTATCTTGTGATTTTGATTTGTATTCCCCTAATACGTTAAGCATACTTTCATGTGCTTATTGGCCATCTATATATCCTCTTTGGAGGAGTCATTATGGTTTTGATTTGTATATTCACTACTGGGTCTGACCCTTATACCTCCTTTAAGAATATGGAAGCCGGGCTTCCCTGGTGGCGCAGTGGTTGAGAGTCCACCTGCCGATGCAGGGGACATGGGTTTGTGCCCCGGTCCGGGAAGATCCCACATGCCGCGGAGCGGCTGGGCCCGTGAGCCATGGCCGCTGAGCCTGCGCGTCCGGAGCCTGTGCTCCGCAACGGGAGAGGCCACAAATAGGAAAATGGATAACTAGGTGACATTTCCCTTTTATTGATTAACCAGAGTGGAAGCTCTTAATGAAGGCTCTGGTATAGTTACACTTCACTCCAGGTATTCTTGGTTCTTCCCAAAACATGATCTACAATGAAGCAGAAACCCTGTTTCCTGTCTAGAGTTTAAAGATGCAATAAGTAATTCTTTTCATGTGAAATTTCCTAAATAAACAGGGGCAAAATAGCATAGCAAATCTGGGTGGGAGCCTTTTATCAAATTACCAAGTAATTTCCTTCTTTAAAAGGAAAAAACCTGATCTTTCTTCCTCCAGAGAAGAGTAGACCAGCAGTCAACTGAGCAAGTTCTCTATATATTCTATTCAGTCTTGTGAGAGCCTGAGGTGAACCTCAGAAAAATGGCTTGCCTCAGAGTAAAGCTGCTATGAATAATAGGTTTACAATTCCTGAAGACTAGAGTTAAAACTAATGGCTCCTTATGAGAGTGGGACCAGGGAAAATTATGGATGAGGAAATGAGCTCTGAAAGGAATTTGTTTCATATAATGACAAAAAACAAAAAACCCTACAGTATTTCACTGGAAATTTCTAAAGAATCCTTTTAGTTTTGAGTGTCTGACTGCAATGCTGAAGCATCTTTCAAAGAGGAAGTTAACATAGGAATCAAGAATTATTATCAATAGTGATTCCTAACCAGGAAAGATTCTTTGGCACCAAGAAGCATTGTTACTCAAATACAAAGAAGTAGGGGCGGAAAAAGATTCAAACCCTTAGACAGCAGTCCCACCTGGAGCAGCCTGCACCCTAGCTCCTCCACCTGGACGTAACAGCAGGGAGCTCCCAGTGGACAGTTGAATGATGGCTTATTTCACCCAGACAAATGTCAAACACAGTTGAGTGTACACTAAATAACAGAGAAATGTTGGATTTTATTTATTGACTATCTTAGACACCACAGTACTCCTTTAAAAAAAAAAAAAAAAAAAAGCCAGGTATCCCTTCCTAAAATGCCCCCAGGACACTGAAGGGAAAAAGAGGGAACAGTTTATAAAGACATAGATTACTTTAGCCAAAAGATCCCTAAAGATGATTTCTTTCAAAAATTAGATAGTTCATTCATTCATTTATCCAACAAATATTTCCTGAGCACTTAGTATCTGTTAGATACTATTCCAGAAACTAGGAATGCATTAGTGAATAAAATACAGCCTCTACCCTCATGTAGCTTACATTATATTGGGAGAGAATGATAAATAAATAAATAAATAAATGTAGATGATATATATATATATGGCGTCAGTAGTGATCAATTTGATGAAGAAATATAGGGTTATGACACAGAATAAATTGAGACAGAAGATTTTTTCAATGAGATAGTTATGAAAGACTCAATGAACTTAGGAAGCAAACCAGGTGAAGGTCTGGGGGTTGGGAGGGTCGGGCTTGCTGGGCAGAAAGAAGGGCAAAGGCCTACAAGTGCTCCAGGTTGGTGTGTTCTGGTCAGTACTGATGGAGTGGTGCAGCTATGAGGCAGGGATAGGTGATAAACTGGGAGGGCCCAGATCATGAAGGACCTTTTCATCATGCAGTGGAGTTTCCATTCCATTCCAAATGTGGTGTGAAGCCACTGTAGGATTCTGAACAGGGAAACATGGAATCAATTCCAAATAACATATGTACATACTCTGCCCTCAAGGAGGTGGAGCCTAACTCCCTGTTCCTTAAGCGTGGCCTGTCCATAGTGACTTCCTTCCAAAAAGGACAGAGTGGAAAGGGGACAAAAGAGTAACTTTATGTCGGAGACACCTGACAAAAGCTTCCTCAGCCAAGTGATCAAGGTCAACATCAACAGTGATAAGTTACATTGATACTATATATGTATGATGTGATGTGAGGAAAATAGCACTTATCTCTTCCTCCCCAAAACCCATAATCCCAGTCTAATCATGAGAAAAACAGACAAACCCCCATTAAGGGACATTCCTCAAAACTGTCAAGGTCATCAAAAATAAGGAAAGTCAGTAATAAGCTATAATGGAAAATAATCCTATATATCATATAGGATTATCATATATATTATCATATAGGATATAACTATATATATAGCTGAATCACTTTGCTGTACACCTGAAACTAATGCAATATTGTAAATCAACTATGTTTCAATAAATAAAAAACAAACAAAAAAACCCAAGGAAAGTCAGAGAAGCTGTCACAGACCAGAGGAGCCTAAGGAGATATGACAATTAAATGTAATGTGGTATCTCGGATGGAACCCCAGAACAGAGAAAAGACATTAGGTAAAAACTAACAAAATCTGAGTAAAGCATGGACTTTAGTTAATAATAATGTATTGATATTGGCTCATTAATTGCAACAAACATGCTATACTAAGGTAAAATGTTAATAATAGGGGAAACGGAATATGGGTTATATGGAAACTCTCTGTACTAGCTTCATAGTTTTTCTGTAAATCTAAAATTGTTCTATAATGAAGCTTACTAAAAACAAACACTGCTTTGGCTACTAAGTGGAGGATTTACTGTAGTGGGATAAGAATGGAAGTATGTGGACCACTTAAGAATCCAAGCGTTTGCTACTTAGTCGCATGTAAACCTTGAGTTACTTTATTTTACTATATACCTTTATTTTCTCGTCTGTAAAATGGGAATATTTATGGAAAGAGATGTGAAGAGGATCCCTTCCTCTGTTACACTAGTATTCTCTTAGGTTTAGGTAATCTCACAGAGCTCCATCATCTTTAATGAGATAGAGACACATCTGAAAAACACAGGATAAGGAACAAGACCCCACTGAGCAAAACTGGGCAAATATAAAACCAAGGAAAGCCAACATAGTCAGCAAACTGTAATCTGCTGGTATGCATTTCTGGAGCCTCCAAAAGAGAGACTGGAAGTTTCCCATCTGGATGAACTTGGCAGGATGAGTTCCACAGAGATGTGCCTGATATCAACCAGACTTTCACTGCATCCCAAGGGCAGCCTTCCCATCATCTCAACCTCGCTTAGACTAACTGGAGGGCTATGGATTATTAATACCTTTCTCTCTCTCTCAAAAACCCAGTAATGTTTTTTAGGAGAGTGGTTCCCAAGCTAGCTGTAAATCAAAAGACTGAAAGTTTTTTTTTTTTTTTTTTTAAACTAAAATCAATGGACCCTACTAAACCCAGAGATTCTGATTCAGTAGGTCTAAGGCAAGGCCAAGAA